TTTGTGGGAGGATGACAAATGACCACAGAAAGTTTGGTAACTCTATTCCATTCAATTATGAAGTTATAGCAGTTTTAATTTTTTTGGCGAGTAGTCAAACTTCGAGGCCTGGCCCCGCCCCTTCAGCATATACGAAAACTCAGAATCCTTGTCTCATTTTGTTCGGCCATTTCTTCTGAGCAATTTTATACCATTTTTGAGACGATCGTGCGAAAATTGATCGAGCAATCCAATCAGAGACTGACCCTAAAAACGGCAAAAACGGCCAAAAATCGCCATTTCATCCCAAAATGGCCGACTTCCTGTTTGATATTGACCATGCTTGCAAGAGACTTTTCTGTGCGGACTGTTGAGTACTACAAGTGTACCAAATTTCATAACTGTACGATAAACTAAGCTTTATGGAGAGGGGTTTTTTTCACTTTGTAGGGGGCGCTGTTCAGCCATTTTCTTTGCGATTTTTTTGGGACCTTTAAAATATCAAATTTTTCACCAGGCCTGACAATTGTGCAAAATATTGTGAGTTTTGGGGTATGTTAAGGTCCCCAAAAAGCCATTCATTTCGCGCACGGAATAATAAATAATAATTAAAGCTGCAAGCAGCGTCGTTCGGCCCTCGCAGCTCCGCGCCGCTCCGGCCTGGCCGGCAGCCCGGGGCACCAGGGCACGTCCGCAGAACACAAACGTCGACCACCCCAACACCAGAAACTGCTAACGGCCACCTTGTCCGCAACTCACCCTGACTCAGCATCCCCTTTGAGCCCACCATTATATTTTATGTCTCACCACTAGGGAATCCTCTATCTTTACCACACTGGTGGTGTGATGACAGTGACCAACTTTAATGCTATTCTGACCATGTTTTTTAAAGTTATCGAAGGATAACGTTATCTAGGTGGCGCTGTGACCAACTACAGAAAAGTCCCATTGAGGTCAGCTTTGGTGACATTATATAACATTCACCAACCGTTTGTGCCTCATTGGCTAAAGGGCATGATTGTTCATTGCCATATTCAGTTTCGGGCAAAGCGGAGGCCGTTTGTGGAAGTTACAGTCAAATGTAAGGTCATGGCGTCACGCCAGCATTCACCATGACATCAAAGCCCCTCCCTTTCTGGAAAGCTATCAGATCTGAATGGTCTTTAAAACATCATGAAGACACTGTATGACCTGAGTGTCATTTTCATTAAATTAGAGGGGACAAATATGGGCATTTCACCATAAAACAATAGACTTCCTGTTGTCAGGGGGCGTGGCTTAGGTGATGTCAGCTGTCCACATTGTCTTTGTCTTGAGATGTGGTCAGTGATCACACAGACAAAGTTTGAATTAGATCTGATCATGCACATGGGAGTTATTAAGTCAAGTAATGTCATGGCGAAAGGTCAAAGTTTGAGGCTTAGCCACGCCCACACCTTTATACTTATTTAAAATCCGACGGTTGAATTTTTTCCCCTTTGACTTAAAAGTACATAGCATAAGTTTGAAGGTGATCGGTGTAAAGGGCAACGGGCCATCAATGTCCAAACAACGTGTGCGAAAACCACTAAATCGAGTACTTGGACCAAAATGGCCGACCTCCTGTGCGAAATTGCGCTTGGCTCCAAGAGACTTTTTTGTAGGGCCAGAGACCCTACATGAGTGTACCAATTTTCGTAATCCTCAGTCAAACCTTGTCTTGGGGCTGACAGTTTTAATGGTCCTAGGGGGCGCTATTTCAGAATATAGGCCACGCCCACAAATCTCAGATGCCCATTTCTATTGGGGGTCAGACTAGGATCACTCACCAGACATTTTGTGGCGATGTCACGATAATTGAAGAAATGAGAGGCAAACGTATTGCCATGGCGTGATGGCGAATTTCGCCATGCTCCCAAAGCCCCGCCTTTTTTCAAAACCTGCCAGTACTGTAGACCAAGTGACCTCAACTTGTCAGCTGCTATTTACCAGAGATTCCAGGTGATTGGGTAAAAGGAGTCCAATAGGGAGCTGTGAAAAAAAGAGTGGCGTGGCGAAAGGTCAAAGTTTGAGGCTTAGCCACGCCCACACCTTTATACTTATTTAAAATCCGACGGTTGAATTTTTTCCTCTATGTCTTAAGAGGATATAGCAGAAGCTCGAAGGCGATTGGTGAAAAGGGCGACGGAGCATCACTCTCCAAACAACGTGTGTGAAAACCACTAAATCGAGTACTTGGACCAAAATGGCCGACTTCCTGTGCGACTTTGCACTTGGCTCCAAGAGACTTTTTTGTAGGTCCTGAGACACCACATTAGTGTACCAAATTTCGTAATCCTCAGTCAAAGCATGGCTTGGGGCAGACAGTTTTAATGGTCCTAGGGGGCGCTAATACAGAAAATAGGCCACGCCCACAAACTTAAGCTGACCTTTTCTATTGGGGGTCAGACTAGGATCACTCACAACAATGGTCGAGGTGATATCACGATAAATGAAGAAATGAGAGGCAAACGTATTTCCATGGCGTGATGGCGAATTTCGCCATGCTCCCAAAGCCCCGCCTTTTTTCAAAACCTTCCAGTACTGGAGACCAAGTGACCTCAACTTGCCTGCTGCTATTTACCAGAGATTCCTGGTGATTGGGTAAAAGGAGTCCAATAAGGAGCTGTGAAAAAAAGAGTGGCGTGGCGAAAGGTCAAAGTTTGAGGCTTAGCCACGCCCACACCTTTATACTTATTTAAAATCCGACGGTTGAATTTTTTCCTCTATGTCTTAAGACTATATAGCAGAAGTTTGAAAGTGATTGGTGAAAAGGGCGACGGAGTATCACTCTCCAAACAACGTGTGTGAAAACCACTAAATCGCGCACTTGGACCAAAATGGCCGACTTCCTGTGCGACTTTGCACTTGGCTCCAAGAGACTTTTTTGTAGGTCCTGAGACACCACATTAGTGTACCAAATTTCGTAATCCTCAGTCAAAGCATGGCTTGGGGCTGACAGTTTTAATGGTCCTAGGGGGCGCTATTTCAGAAAATAGGCCACGCCCACCAGATGTTCACATCAGATCTTTTGGGGGGCTGGACTAGGATCACTCACAAGAAGTTTCGTGACGATATCTTTGGAAATGACGAAATGGGAGGCAAACGTAAGGCCACGGCGGTACGCCTGAATTCGCCGCGCCGCCACAGCCCCGCCCTCTGCCGAAAACTCCCATAAAGTGACGCCAAGCAACCCCCACTTGTCTTGAGTTACCAGCTACAAATTTGTGGTGATTAAGTGAAATGGGGCAATTTGGGACCTTTCACAGTAAAACTTGATCTTTTTGGTCCTGAGCGGGCGGGGCTTGTGTGATGTCATCATCCGACCATTCAATTTACTTTGTGGGTGGATGACGAATGACCACATAAAGTTTGGTAACTCTATTCCATTCAGTTATGAAGTTATAGCAATTTAAATATTTTTGGCGAGTAGTCAAACTTCGAGGCCTGGCCCCGCCCCTTCAACATATACGAAAACTCAGAATTCTCATCTCATTTTGTTCGCCCATCCCTTCTTAGCAATTTTACACAATTTTTGAGACGATCGTGCGAAAAATGATCGAGCAATCCAATCAGGAACGGACCCTAAAAACGGCAAAAACTGCAAAAAATCGCCATTTCAACCCAAAATGGCCGACTTCCTGTTTGATATTGACCATGGTTGCAAGAGACTTTTCTGTGCGGACTGTTGAGTACTACAAGTGTACCAAATTTCATAACTGTACGATAAACTAAGCTTTATGGAGAGGGTTTTTTTTCACTTTCTAGGGGGCGCTGTTCAGCCATTTTCTTTGTGATTTTTTTGGGACCTTTAAAATATCAAATTTTTCACCAGGCCTGACAAGTTTGCAAAATATTGTGAGTTTTGGGGTATGTTAAGGTCCCCAAAAAGCCGTTCAAAGCGGGCTAAGAATAATAAAAAATAATAATAAACAGAGCAAAAACAAGAGGCCTTCGCAGCGCTTTGCTGCTCGGGCCTAATAATAATAATCAGAGCAAAAACAAGAGGCCTTCGCAGCGCTTTCGCTGCTCGGGCCTAATAATCAGAGCAAAAACAAGAGGCCTTCGCAGCGCTTTCGCTGCTCGGGCCTAATAATAATCAGAGCAAAAACAAGAGGCCTTCGCAGCGCTTTCGCTGCTCGGGCCTAATTAAGGATTAAACAGAGGAGCTGTCCACAGCTGAGGTGCTGAAGTGTGGCTCAGAGTTCCTCTGGGCCACAAGTAGCGCTTCACACCAAATGTTGTGTTAGACACACCGTATGGTCTGTTAACTTTCAAACAGTTGTGCAATAAAAACAAGCATTTCAGCTGCAAGTTTTAAGCCGTATTTATATCTAAATGGTGCACATTTTTCTGCTTCTTCTGACAGCTTTTTGATGCTCAGAGGCATGAGTGAGGTCACTCAGAGCTGTGATTCCTATCTAACAACAGAAGGCGCTAAGTTGGCAAAGGGATGAATGCATCGGGAAGATGTCCTCGTGGGATAGACTGCTGAGTTAGTGCTTCAGGCGACAGAACACAGAAGGTGATGCTGATGATGAGGAAACAGTGAGGAAGATCTTTTACAGGGTGTGCCATCAGCAGATCTAGAGCCATTAAACAGGAAAATCCCACTGCATCCTATTGTTCTAGGATAAAATTCTTACTTAGAAAGTTTCCTTTCTACTGCTACGAAACACTTCCAAACTCTGCATGAGAAACTCGCATTGTGGACTTTTTTATTTTACATGAGATATTTGGGTTCTCTTGCCTCCAACAGATGAGTAGTTCAAAAGGCTCGGAGCGCTGCAGAGGCTGAGCACAACTTCTAAAAGGAAATCTCTTTTTCTACACACACGCGTGTGTGTGTGTGTGTGTGTGTGTGTGTGTGTGTGTGTGTGTGTGTGTGTGTGTGTGTGTGTGTGTGTGTGTGTGTGTGTAAAACCCAAATAGATGTGCGAACAAGAGCATGGCTTGTGCTAGCGCAGATGTGACACATTCTTGTTGTACAAACTGTGTTTCAGACCTGGAACTATTTCTGCTCAGAGTGGGAGGAAAAGGTGTCTCTGCTTCCTGTTGGCAGATGGTTTAGCGGTCTCTGCATCATACTGTGCTGAAAAGGATACCTATACATATGGACACACCAGCTTTGTTTTTGCCTCTGATCCCCTGAACGCCGGCGAGTATCGTCAGTTACAAACATGTTGTAAACTAACTCTTTAAATCCCAAATAACTGAGCCACACCAACAACTGAAAGTATTTTGTTCTCCTTGCATTGATTCCTGTTTCCATTTCCTGTGTAATGGACTTGCCAGTAATGACCACAGTGATCTGATAGAAGCTGACAGGTCTCCATATTATCCGTTTCTGTGAGCTCAGAGCTGAACTGTGCAAGTCTGGGAAATAAAACCAAGATGGGAAGGGCTGAACCTTGATTTCTCATTTGCTTTGAAGCTACATGAGAAAATAAGTTGCAGAAATAGGAAATAACGTTTTCCAGTAATTTTGCTGGAATCTTTGCCTCCTTTAAGCTCATTTTTTAGGCTTTACATTCTAATGTCACAACCTCAGCATCTCTGTGATCTCTGAAATTAGTTTATTCCTGCTGAAAGGATTTTTTTAAACCATTAAAAGCAACGAAAGCCCTCGAACTGTCCGTATAGCATTTAATCAAAACTGGTGTAGGCCAAGACAAATTTTAAAGAAAACCAAGAGAAAATCGTTCAGTTTGGAGGGTTTTTTTCTGCTGTCCTCGGTGACACTGAAAAAGTGAGCCGAACCTCCCACATCTGTGCGCTCCGCAGCTCTCCAGCGGGTCTTCTGCTGAACTCTGCACCGCCTGCCTCCGCGCCCACGGGATCTTCATTATTTTAGCAAATCGCTGGATCTTCCTTGAACACTTTGCGCGGATCTCTCCCCCTCTTCCTGCCTCTCCTCTGTGGCGTCGGTCTGCGCCCTCCCTCGCTTCATTATCCTGCACCTGCAGGCAGCGGACGTCTTCTCCCAGATTGCTCCTCTCCTTTTTACCACCATGACTTCCACAAAAGACGCGAACGGGCCGGGGAAAGCGCCTCAGCAGAACGATCAGGTAAGTCCTCAGATAACCTGTTCGCTAATTTGCGCCTGTAATTACGCGTTTAGCGCTCGAGCTTAAAGGCACAGCTGGAGCGCACGCGCAAAAGAGCTCCGAGCAAAAAGAACATTCAAAGCAGTTTTCAATCACCTTAATTAAAGAGAAAAACACGTTTACTGTCATTATTCTTCAGATCAAGCAGTTTGAATGCTTTAAACTTCTGCATAAATATTTAATTGACTCTTCTTAGTCACCCACAGGTGTAGCTTCCATAACCTGCAAAAGCCTAGTTATCTCATGAAATCTAAAAATAATCAACAGGATCTGATAACTGTGCTTCAGTGTTACATAGCAGGGGTTTGTGTGGAGGTGTTCTGAGATTTAAACCCCATTTATGGGCTGAAAAAGTCGTTGTTGCCATGCACTTTTACAGCATCTCATCTTTTAGCTTTACTTTATATAAGGGGACTAGAAAAGGCTGAAGAGATGACATGATGCCATCTGGGTTTGCATATCTGTGCCTGCACCTCTGGTATAACTTAGATTAAAAGGAATTTAATCTAGTTTGCTGAAGCTAGAACCTCTGGATGATACTTGTTGATTGTTAAGGATTTTCCTCTTAGGAAAGGTCAAACAAAAGCAAATCAGGGGGTTTCACCTGAATGAGTGGGATTAAAGGGTTTTCCTTCCTTTTTCCTCCACTGCAGCTTAATCTGGTGAAATTTTGACAGTGTTTGTTTTCACGGCCCACTTACATTCATGAAAGCGGGGCTGCAGACTCAACGGCAGATCTTTAACCGAGTTCGGATCAGAAAAAGAGAGCCAGAGCTCTTTTGAAGGTTGAAAAGAAATCAAATGTTTCACAGAAAAGTGAGATCCACTCAGTCTCATCTGTACATCGGGGCTGCATGGTTGTTAGTCTGCAATGACAGCAATCATTTCAAATAAAAAGGAACAAGGCACCTTTATCAACTGATTATCATATCTGACTAACCTTGGCTGATTCCTTCACCTATCCAGTGTGCACAATTTGTAAAAAAAAAAAAAAATACAGTAAAACACAATGTCCTGGCTGAGAAGGTGATTGGAAAACACACTCTGTCATCAGTGTCCTTTTAGCTTCCAGAGCAGCCTCCAGCACGTTGGTGGTATCAGTTTCAGATTCCTTCCTGTGCATCTGCTATTTCAGTATGCAGACATGGAGAAACGGAGAGATCTCTGCAAAAAAGACACAAGCTGCACGACTGCTGACAGTAGGTGGGACGCAGATTTTAAGGCACTGAAGGAAAGACACATTCTTCATCCAGCTCAAATCTGAAGAATAAGTAAATGGAGTCTTTTTCCTCAGAGCTTCTATTGGCTGAGCTCCGCTGTTGTTGCAGATCGTGGAGCTTTGATGCCTCACACAGATTGCCAAAAACACAATGAGCTTTTGTTGTTGTTATTCAGCTTTTTGAGTGTTATCACACCTCCTCTGTTACTGCACGAGATGCCTTTCAGAGTTACCTCATTGTCTTGTTCAAGGTAGCATCCTTTTTCCCTCCAGTGCATTCTGCACAAGTGCCCATTCAGACTGAGGGGAGCAAAGGTGATGCATGCTGGGAAATAAAACGACAAACCTGTTGGATGAGATTGATACAGCTGCAAAAACAAATCTGTCATTAAATTTACTTTCAGCTTCCCCCCCCCCCCTAAAATGTTATACTGCACGCAATTGTCCTGAAAGCACATCAGAGCTCTTATCTTCGCTGCAGCTCCTAGTGGTTTTAATTTCCAACTACATTCTGAGGAATATATTAGGTTTTGAAAAGGAAAAGGTAGAGACACTTTCAACAGTTCCATTCTTCAGTCAGCATTGTTCTTGTGCTGCTTTTACTCTGATGACTAAAAGATAAAGTGACAGTTTTGTCCAGAGGCAAGCACTAACTCATATCCTCTGAGAAACCTTCATTCATCTTTTGTCTTGTTCAAAAGTCACAAAGTGATAAAAAGAATGTTAGAGGTGTTCTGAAAATTTCATTCACTTGTTACGACTGAAAACCATGAGTAAAAAATGTGGGATTGCAGCAGTTTATTTCATCTTTGGGGTCAGAATAGAAAGCAAGAGTTTGGTGAAAAGGATTTGATTTTCTTTGTCGCATATCTAAGATCTGTTTCTTAGCATATTGTACTTTAGCTAGAATCATTTTACAACTGTGGTGGAATATTTGGCACAATTGGTTCAGTTTACATTTTTATTTATTAATTGTTTTGTGACATGAAATTTTCCACTCTCAGCTTTCAACGTGTATTCGGACTCATTATCAGAGAACACTAAAATTGGTCCTCTGAAATGTTTCCATTAATTGGCTCAATCTTTCAGAAAATCTCAAAAAAACAACCCCACTACCATATTGAAACATTTGTTGTGACGTGTTTTAGGAACCCCCAGAAAAAAAGCAGGACAAAAAATGTGTTGCTCCAAATTCACGATTAATGTCAAAGTGTTGATTAAAATAATCAAGACAGCTTTACTAGAAACTGTTGAGAAGTTGATAAAATATTATGAAATGTTATGTTAAGAATTAAGTACACTCAGCTATAGGAAAACTGCTATTTTAAGATAAAAAGAGGAATAATAAAGTAAATCGGCACTAGGCAGAGACCTATGATATCCACAATGTGTGGTGTAATTAGCTACACAGACTTTACTCTTCAGAAAGGGTTTAATGAAAGTAAACCATTTTAACACCATGCTTTTTATTTGGTGATAAACATAACCTGTAGATTATTCCTTAAAGGTAAGGGACACTGAAAACACATTTTTTAAAATATTTCTGATTAAAGGGATACTAAGCTGTTTGCTTGCTTTTAGCATCCCCGAAGTGTCCGTTATAAATCATCTGCGGTCAAATCAAAGCCAAACTTGGCTCATTGCTGTGCATTCGTCTTTTAAGAAGTTAATCTTACTGCAGAAAAATCTCCCCAGCCCTTCTTACACCTGGTTCACATCAGCTGCGAAGTGGATCACTCACGAAATTTGCGCGCCGCCCGCTGTTCCTCTGTTCATATCAGGCAAGAATTTTCAACAAGCGCTTCTGCTCATGCCTACTGTTTTCCAAACCCCTCCACCTACCCCCTGTGCCCTTGGTGTGTGTGTGTGTGTGTGTGTGTGTGTGTGTGTGTGTGTGTGTGTGTGTGTGTGTGTGTGTGTGTGTGTGTGTGTGTGTGTGTGTGTGTGTGTGTGTGTGTGTGTGTGTGTGTGTGTGTGTGTGTGTGTGTGTGTGCACTCGCACGCATCCAGTTTGCCCTGCTTGCTATCAGTAACTGCCCCGATCCTGCTGCTTTGTAGACCAGTCCCTTTATGAATGGGTAAGCCATAGTGTTTGTGATAGAGTGCAATGCTGTTGCAAATTTACATTTTAATTAAATGCATTTGTTTGTGATCACATTTATTAAATCCATCTTTTGCTGCAAAAACTGCATTTAAATTTATGGAAACGCTATGTTTCTCTGCAGGAGTGTGTGTATGTGTGTGTTTGTCTTTGTTCATTTTTGTCTCTCGATAAGTTTGAATACACAAAAAAGATCACGTTCATCAATTGCAGTGTTTTATTTCGAAAAATGTCTTCATGTTGTTCAATTTACCGGCCTGCTTCAACTTTTTTGGTTTGACTTCCTGTCAGAATTTACACGGCTCTCGAAAAAAATGAAGCACATGCCAAAACAATTGCTGCACGGCGCAGCCTTCTCCACTGATGTGAACGCGACCATAGGTTAACAATGGTGCGGCCGAATAGAAGCGCTCTCGTTCCATGGCGCTTTGTGGCGCATCGTCACATTTACCCATGTGACGTGAACAAGGCATTAGTGTCTACAGGAGTGGTTCATCACTAAATCAAACAAATCAGCTGTGTTCGTGATCTAAAGCATGCAGGAAGCAGACTGCAGCACCGGGCAGACGGTGGCCCAGTATTCTGAAGTTCCCACAGAATACCCTGTTCATTAATGCTGTAAAAGGTCATTTTAGAACATACTGGCTCAAGAAAATTATTTAAAAATATGAAAAAGTTCCACAGTATGCCTTTAAAATCAGTCACTCTGAGTTTTTTTTATGCAGGCCGAACATGAAAAAGTCTCCTATCTCCTGCAATAACCTCTGAGAGAAAATAGACGGTGAAACTAGAATTTGAAAAGCCTGATGGATCTTTGTCACACATTCATGGACTCGCCGATTTTAACTCACGACGGAGAAAGCTGTTGTTTTAACATCCGAGAATCAGCAACAACTTCTTGGCTATGAGAAGCTAACCGCTAGCATTAGCATCTCTATATCTACCCCCCCCCCCAGCATGACTTACAAGGCATTAATTGCTACTAGAGACCATTGCAAATGTACTGATTAAATGCATGTTCAACGCCTTTAATAGTTCTTCTTGCAGCAGAGATTTTACCAGAAGAAAAAACAACGATATAATCTTCTTTTTCAATATTCTGCAATAAAAGTTGAGGTATGTGTGCATGTTTGACCCTTTATTTTCCACACCAGAAAAAATACACGGGAAAAAAATGGTCAGATAAGATCAGAGCATATTTAGTAGGATAGAAGACATAAAAGTTGCTCAAACAAGTGATCAATCTGTCAGTCAGAGGTTTTTATGAAACACTGGCATGATTGATGCTGCTGCAGGATTAATCAATAACCAATCTAACCCTAATCCTAACCCATCATCTGAGCGGCTCATTTAAAATCTCACCCAGAACCATCAGGTCCAATCACAGTTAATAACATTCAGTTGGCTACCTGAGGACATTGGCATGTGTTTTCTTGGACTTGAATAAATATTTGGATTATTTTTCTCAGCATTTGGATTTTAATATTAAAACTTAAAAAAAGAAAAAAGCTTCCTCCGCTTTGATTTTCTTCTAAGTAGATCTAATAAAGGCCTGTAGTCAGGCGATTGTTTTTTATATGAAACGTCACCGTTATTCCTCTAAACATCTGATTGGTTGTGATTTCATTTCAGTCAGCTGTA